ATATAAACAGTTATTAATAAGCTGTATTTTATGTTCAGGGCAAAGATTTATCCATTATATTGGAACAAGCATTAGACTAAATAAAAAACTCGCACTTAAACAACTTTGTCCCTGTATAGTATTTTTGTTATTGCTCTTTTTGTTGGTCTTGCAGTGTGTGGGGTATGCCCACAGTGTGACACAGGAAGCTGTCTCCCTCACAGGGATGAGAGCTCGTGCTGTTAACAGCAGGCCGTCCCATCAGGCCTCCCCGACTCTACTTATTTTAGTTTGATTGTTGCTGTTTGTTTGAATTCTTCTCTCTGCAGCAGGAACCTGTGAGATTCATCAATCTGGGATCTGACAGGAATTTATGAGCAAAATAAGCGAATATATTCTCTGCTGGGGTTTGGCACTTTCACCTCTGGTGCACAGTTTTGCTCAGCTTAGCCCTGGGCCATGACAGTGCATGTTTGTGCATTTGACACCTCAAATGAGTGCAAGACTGGAGTGCAACATATCAGACACATTGTGAGTGATTGTTTTCAATAGACACGGCACAACCACAGGACAAACCTGCCCTGTGTAGTGTGGGACCTGTTAAGGTCTTCTGCATGGTCGGGTCCCTTTTAAAGCTTAATATGCTGCTGCTCCCTGTCTGTAGCCCACTCTGTGGATAACGACCCTGTTAGTGGGTTTAAGTCCGTGTTTCTCCATCCATCAAAGCTCAGATCTGATGTTTTCTTTCCCGTACTGAGGGCGCTGGTGTGGGTGGGTGAATAACTGTGACTACTGCTGGATAATTCCAGACCTGATGGTGTCCAATTACACTTCCAGTCTCATGAGCTCATCTGTTCACACAGGATGTGTTTGTTTTGTTCGCCATATTCTCTGTCAGTCTTTGTGAGCAGAGATCTCCTCCTGAAATAGCATGAAGCTTAGATTCACTTACGGGTGTGATGATTAAAGTCTGTGGAGCTGGAGTTCAGCAGCAGTGCATCTTTTCTGGGCTTCTGTTTGGAAGCTGTTGAGAGGTATTAAAATCCAGTCCTCGTGCAAACTTTTGGCCATTTAGCTTGAATATTTCTGTCCAATTTTTGATTGTAAACTTTGAAAACAATTAATTTCCCTCATGTTCTGTTTGGTCGATTGTCTTTTTCTTTGCATTGAGTTCTTCAGCACAAAAGACCAGCAGCCAAAAACGGATCACTTGCGATGTTCATGTTTGTGGTTATTGCACTGACTCCAAGCTGACAGACACTTCGACACTGTCAGCTTTAAGCCGTTCTTGTCATGAACCGAAGTTCAGTACACAAGCTGGACCCAGAAGCAGAGACAATACGCACAGGA